ATTTCTTCGGAATTGCGCCGGCCACCTTTATGGTAGCCCCTTGGGAACGATGCTGTAGATCACTGGAAACTGACGAGTTGCATGCTCCCAGGAACGCAGCGTGGATGCATCGAGCTTGTTACAGAGGATGAAGGTGAGTGGAGTGTCCCAGTGCTTTATAGGCTCACAGAGTTTGCCCAAAGCCTTGACGTGCCGCTGAAAGTCGTCGACTAGAGTATTCAGCTCCTGTGCCGAATCACACTTCATCAACGGTCCAATCCTCCAAGGAGTCATTGAGGAATCGTATATCGTAATAGCTTTTCATTAAGGCAATCACGCATAGTTGTCCACTTGAATATCAATACTCTCAAACGGCTTTTTGGCATCTCCTTCTAACGACTGCATCAGGTATTGAAGCTTGTTTACAGTCGGAATTTCATCGTTGCTGTGGATTATGGAGAGGAAATTATCTCGGAACGATATCCAGCGTGATTCTTCCCCACTAAACTTCGGAAGGTCGATTTTTGGCAGACGATAATGGAAGATAATTGAGTTGTGGACCGAAGCGAAGGAAGGTTACATCGTAGAGCTTAGAAGAGGATGATTTCGTTCCCGTTTAGACAGCAGAAAGCCCTTCACCCTGCATAAGCGATTTTCAAAACCAAAGTTGTTATACTGGGATAGACCAACAAGCCAGTGTCATTGGATTCAGGTTTAATTGGGAACTACGCCGCTAGAGGTGCTTCACTTTTATGTTGCTTATGACGGGCACTATAATATTTTGATCATAGGTCCAACATAGAATATTTCGTGATCCTGGCCATATAGAAAGTTACTGTCTTCAGCAAAGTTGTTCAAGTGACCAAATCTTTTCGGATGGTGGCCATATTAGTTCAGAACTCTCTCACTACGCAGCGCTAGTGTGCATGCGAACTTCCTACATAAACTGTATCTCGAGAGCCTGGCCATATAGAACGTTGCTGTCTTCAGCAAGTTGTTCAGGTGACCAAGTCCTTTCGGATGATGGTCATATTATTTATGAACTCTCTCACTACGCAGCGCTATTGTGTACATGAACTTCCTTAATATGTTATTTCTGGAAAGCTTGTCCATATAAGATGTTGCTGTGCAATGTGAGGACACGAAACGAAATAGGGATGACGTGTAGAGAGGCTGTAAATCGATTTTGGACGCCATTTTGAAATCCAATATGGCGGTCATCGATTCAAGAAAAACTGTCAAATACGCTACAATATGGGTATTTTCGGAAAAGGGGTGACGTGTAGAAGCTGGAAATCGATGTCAGACGCAATTTTGGAATCCAAGATAGCGGCCATCGGTTCAAGAAAAACTGTCAAATACCCTATAATATGGGTATTTCCGGAAAGGCGACGACGTGTAGAGGCTGTAAATCGATGCCAGATGCCATTTTGTAACCCAAAATGGTAACAATCGGTTCGAGAAAAACTGTATAGCTCTATATATTTAAACAAATGAGATCATCCACCACAGCCTCTATTAGTGAAAATCCCATAAGCTGTCTGTTTCCTTATTCGCGGATAGCCCGGCAAAAAGGACCCGGCCATAAGGGATACCGTTAAAAAGGAATCCGGCAATAAGGATTTCTGACTGTAAGTGGGATTCATCATCTGGGGATGTTAGTGGAGACCGCATGAACCGAGGATGCGATATACCTAGCTGCAGTCCAATGCAAGAAAATTGGAGACCGAAAAATGAGGAGTGTATTAGTGAGTGAAATTAATTATGTCGAAAAAAATTGGAAAAAGGTTGCCGAATAGACTCAAACCACAAACGTTTCGATTCCTGTACTTTCTCGCTTACGAAGCGCTCCTCTCATACTCAACTTCGTATGATTTTTCTACTTGAGAGATTCGAGTCAAGTGTGTGCGTCGTTCTACTATGTTATAAATAAAAATATTACTGGTATAGTCAAAAGCGTAGATAGAACACAAAATAAAAAAAAAGACAAAAAACCATTACATTGCCAGCAAGATCAACTTCTAACTAACATTCATTGTAATAATTTTTTGGTTTGCGTGTACGAATCGCGGATCCGCTAGAATGCCACCCCGTGTATTCAATTCAATTGACACGCACTTCACCGTGGGATTGGGTATCACAAGTTTACGGAACAGTCCATAAAATCACTCACGCACTACGACCGACGGAACATCTCGGTTTGTTCACAAACTGTGGATCGTTTCGGATCTGTACGATGAAATTAGATTGCCTTGCACTGTGCCACACTTCATTACTTTCGTCAACGATGGACGAAAACAGGCTAGCTACCGAATGCTCCTGCTATTTATTGGCAACTAATTTTAGATATAAGAGTTGGTTGTTGATTTTCCTACGGATCGATAGAAGAGGTTTCCTACAGTGATCACGTATGATTGTTGTGTCGGTTAGAATTCAATTGTGTTCAATCTAAATTAATATTACACAAGTAACCAACAAGCTCGCTAATCGCCCTTTTTGAAATATAATGCTGATATACGGCTGATATAGAGTTGTAAAGCCTTATAACAACCTTATATTGCAAAAAGGGCGATAAGAGTGCTATTAACGGGCATGGTGGTTACTTGGGTAATTAATATTTACAAATTCCATAAAAAGTGAACTATTTACATACTCATGATCAGTGTACTAGGATTGGGCGATCTTCAGAGAAAGATCGATCTTGATGAATCGATCTTATATTTGGCTTTAGAATCGATCCACTGATTAAATCGGTACCAAAGAATCGATCTTTGGTAGATCGATCTTTTGATTTTTTGTGATACGCTTGACTTTTTAATAATTATTATAGCACTGCAAAAACTATTTCTGTTCGCCACGAGGGTGATGATGGATTTTTAATATTTTATTTTATAGTAGATTAATTTAAAAAAAAGTAGTCTACAAAGGTTTGAGCCTCGCGCGCGTATTACGGATATAGAGGACTGAATTTAACATTTGATAAAAAAAAAATGCAATTTTGAAGCTTATTTGAAAGATACCTTGAGTTAATAGTAAGTTTTCTGGCAAATGTTAGGGGTTCGTGAGCATTCCTGACATTGCTGAAAATTATGATAGCATCAGATTGCAGGGTTACTAGTGTAATAGGATGCTTTGTTGATTGTTCATTAACTCTTGATTGCTTGTAATACTTATGAATATTTTAGGTGGACAAAAAGGCGAACTAAGAGGTGGACGCCTGAGCTTTTCCACTTTTATATCGCTGTGAAGCAACTGTAAACTTTAGAGGGAATTTATATCTGTAACTGAAACCAGTTCGATTTTGTTTGCCAACCTGGTTAAAATGTCATATTCAATTATCTTAAAGATAAATCGTCCAGCTCAAACCTTTGTAGGGGTAAGAGGTGGGACCATCATCATCATTTACGTTGGTACCCCAAGGAATTCTTTCCTTTATAATATTCAATTAAATCACCGGCCAGAAATTTTTCTTTGAATAAAATGCCCGCAAATCAACTAGCAAACGAAAACAAAGAAGAAATGAATGTCACACTTGCTCACTGGCAATGTGTGTGTCAATTCAGTTCGATTGCCACGGAGATACAGAATGATTCATTAATGATTGAAGTTGCTGTATTCGTAAATATTGGGAATGTAAATAGTGACGTCATTGTAATCCAGCTAATAACATAGGGAGCGATGCTGATGTTGACGTTACGTTTGTTAAATTTACCACGAAGTCTGGGGTTGGAGTAAATCGTTTTTTTTTTCGATGTAAATGCTCTTAAAAAATTGAACACATATTTTTTATTGACGATCGAAAAGATCGAATGAAAAAATCGATTTTTCGATCTTTTCGTGGACAAAGAATCGATCCGAAAAATCGGTAATCGGGTTGAAAAAGATTGCTCTTCCAAAGATCGATCCAAGATCGCCCAATCCTACAGTATACCTTCCGTAATTACCTTTCATTCATTTCATTTAAAAAAAAAAGCCTCTAAAATTTTGCGATAAGGAACAGATTTTTACGAAATTCTGAAAAACACTGTGTCGTTTTGCTATGGAATGGTTGCAAATACTTTATTACTCTTTATCTACAGCTAACCACGTTCAAAGCAAAGGAATGTTATGTACTAAGTATGTGAAACTACGATAGAAATCATTCCATATCGTCATAGATTTTAACTGATAATACATTGGAATCAATGGAATAAATAAATCTTCTGACATATTTATATTATCCGATAGGTTGAATCCAGAACCGGATGCCAATTTATTTCAGTATTTTCTAATATTGCATCGAAATAAATTTGGTAAAGAATTAATAAAATCTAAATTGATGATGGCTCACTAACCCTATCGGAATAGGGGAAAAGAAGCTAGTTGCCCGGTTGCCAAGGATAGGATATTCCACATTGTTACCATGTTTCACATTCTTTCCACATGCTCCATTGTTCAGTGTTTTGTGGCCATCGCAACGCACTTGGAAACCAGCATCATTTTAGATGAACAGAATGAAAACGTTCTTTGTAGGGTTGCACAACATCCTTCCTTTCGTATTCTCTTCCCCTCCTCCGTACCATCGTTGGTATCAGAAACCGACAGTGAGCATGCATAAGGGCGTATACGCGATGATCGATTCTCTTCATCGTTTTTCTCTTTGCATTGCTCCAGCTAAGCGAAACAATTTTTTAGAATTTGTTCAATGCAGAGTTTTAACAGGTTGTACTGGCTATCGTACCGATAAACGTTAAATCTAGCGAGTTAATAACAAAAGAGAAAATCGATGAAGAGAATCGATCATCGCGTATACGCCCTTATGAATGCTCACTGTCGAAACATTCGTTCGTTCTGTAAAGCACTGACTGATGGCATCGCAATTCCACACAGTTGGCATGAAGCCATGTGAATGTCTCAGTCTATCAACAAGTAACAGATTTATGAGTTATGTGAAGAATGCCTTCCCTGTCCTAATGGGGTTCCGTTTGATGGGGGGATGATCTGAGAGTTTTATTTAATTGATTGCCGTTCTTTACTTCCAGCCCAAATCCTGCTGGTCGACGGTGTTTATGATAGCAGCCTCGGTACATATGGTGGGTATCACCTTCTACGGAATATTTGCCTCCGGAGAGCTGCAACCGTGGGCAGAACCGACGATCGAAGAGCAGAAAGCCTGGGATCCGGTAGCCTCGGGGTACGAAAAGGAAACGACATTCAACGATCCCTCTGGCGGCGGAGGAGCAGCAGTTGGAGCACTAGGTCCAGCAGCCGCCATGGATCCTTCGGCACAAATCAACAGCACCAAAACCGTAAGCTACGGTGCCGTATCGCACGTGGCTGGCAATCCGTTTGCCTATCCCAATGTGATTAGCGAAGAACCGGTGCAACCGGAAGCCAAGGACTCCTACTTACACGGCAATCCGGCCGAGCGTTCGTATTGACCTGCTCGATTCAAGAAAACCGTAACGTTCAGTTTGAATTAGGTAGTGTCGATAGGATCTTGCGAACACATCAGAGCGACGCAACGCAATCCAAGTTTTGCTTCGTTTATTGTGATCTTAGGTAGAATACCGTTTCCGTACAAGTTTCACTGTGGAACGAATTATCTGTGTTAAAAAATATCGACGAAGGTGGGATGGGCGTCGAATTAAAATAGCAACAAAAGTGAACTGTTCAGTATTTCATGGTAAAATATCAAAACATAACTCTATTTCAGGTGATGGCTCGACTAATATCGTGGAAAGAATGGAAAAATTAACCCTGCTTAAGCAATTACAATTTAGATAGTACTAACAAATACTTGAGCAACTGATGGTGTAAGATCAAGATTATTTTAGTGAAACCAGAACTATATTCAAATCAATCAATTCAAATCGGTTACTTGAAAATAAAATTGTAAATATTACTGTGAAATAAGAATATGGCGAAGCTTGTTAAGCATTATAGCGCAGAGCATTTGTTAATCCAAAGCACGAGTAATGCTTGTATTAGGCGAGAATATATATTAATCATTACCAATGATAGGGTTAAGTTAGTGTACAATAGTCCGGTGTTCTAGTTTTAACCGTCATAGCATCCCATTACTTCCACAAATCGAAAGGTGAAGATCCGGAAGAGTAAGTAATGTCTATTGTAACTCAAGAAAGTATGCTTTCGGTTTTGTAAAATACGCGAATTTCTTTCAACTAAAAGAGTCAATTTTACACTTGTACACTGTAGAAACATAGCTATCGATAATGACGGAAGGAAATGGTAGGTATGAAGCAGCCGGAACCGACAGCCTGTACTGCACAATTGTACTGAAAATTTAATCCTGATGAATGTTGGTGAATGATAGCGTCTATAATGGAAAATCCTGTAGAACGGGAGCGAGAAGTAGTAGTAATTTCCATTTAATTCCACTGCCTTAATTAAGGTAATGGGATTAAATAAAAAAAACTACCAATCCTTCCCTCCTTCTTTATCAAGGTAAATTTAGTTTATGGTTAAGAGCTGAGGGGTTCAGATGATGATTCATTTTAAAAGCTGCAGTATTTGTAACGGAATTTTTTACAATTAATAACTGTTGAACTGTTTTTAATATGTTTTTTTTTTCCTTTCTTCATAATACGTTTAAGAAGTGCACAATTTATTGATATTTTTAGATGAAATCACAATTTTGATGAATAATCCAAAAATATATTCTGTGAAAATGAAGAAATCTTCATTAATTTTTCATCAATGACAAAGAATCACTTGGTAACAAGAATTGTAATTTTGTGCTTTCTCTTCACATTGTTGTTATCTAGGCAGTTGCGAACGTAGCTGCTACACTGCAAAATATTCCGAATTTTAATTGTGATGTGAAACATTCATTCTGAAAAGCTTGTATTTAATTTCATGCAAACGAGCATCTTGTAAGCAATGTTGTTTACAAAGATAGGCTTTTGAATACAGAATTTGCAAAATTTCATGAAATGTCACACGATTTATAATGTATACTTATATGTGCATACACTGCCTAATTGATTTAATTTCGATGATGTGACACAAAATCTGCACATGTTCGTCACTGACTACATTGTCACACGGTCAATGACACGAGAAAGTGAAGAAAGGTGTTTTGTCAATATCACCGTAAATGGTCGATATTTTTCAGCACTGCTTTAGTGCATGTGTTATTTTGAATCCTTAAAGCAATTCGAATTGCAAGGCTAATTCTGCATAAACATAACTGAACCCAAATAAGCTCAGCTCTAGAATAATGTTGCCTAAAAGAAAGTGAATGCAATGGTGGGATGTATGAGTGATGTGAGATGTCATATAATTTTCTTTATTCTTTCCCACCGGAAGCGGTTGATTTGATTCCAGGTTCAATCTAGATGTTTTTCCCGGAAGGAAATTTCTCGACTTCCCTGGGTACATAATACACAAATGTATGCATTAATTGGCATTTAAAACTCCTAATTAATAACTGTGGAAGTGCCCCGTAACGTGGGTAGATCACCTTTTCGTGGTACGTTACGGGATGTAAGATCTACCAGCGATTCCTAGTCCCGACTACTTCAAACTAGGGGAACAGGATTTTTCAGTAACCAAAGGAACATATCTTAGTCCTTGTTAGTTTTTATGCCTTGTTGATAGTGACAAGACTCGGCTTTGGCCACCGAGGATGACCTAGAAACAAGAAAAAAAATGAGTTAGTCTTCATCTATGTGGTTCCTAATCTTCTATTCGTTGTTCTCTAGTTTGAAGTGGTTAAGACAAGGGTTCTGATGCATGGTCTTTATGGGTGTCATTGCTTATTTTTGTTGCTAAGGAATCCAATTTTGACTGACAAAGGGGCGCGCCTTTGAAGAGTATTCCTACACTCCGAAAGGTATAAATAGCGGGACCTTTCAATTAGAGTCGGATCTTTGGGATAGATGCAAGTATGACAACTGTAAAAAAATCAATTACTTCATCATTTCTCAATAGTGATGGAGTAATACGACATGCACTAAACTAAGGACACGGGATATACTACAATAGATCAAATTACTGGTCGCAGTGGTGTTAGGTCCCGTACAGAGGAAAAATAAAAAAAAACTGGGGAAGTGCTTCAAAGAAAACTAAAGAGTAAAAGCGTCAAAGGCAGGAAGAAGCAGAAGAAGATATTATCTGTTCATCTACTCAACGCACACGGCAGACCTTTTAAAAGCGATTATTGCGTGTCCTTTGCAGAGCCGAGGATTCTGATTCACTATACAAAACATCTGAAAATAACTAGAGTCAAAAGGTACAACACAATAAACACTTTATCTTCCGCAATCCAATAAGCTCCTATATTAGAACGGGATCTACTTCCAGTGGTTTCATTGTATGGCAGTATCGACAACGGCAAAGCGCTTTCGAACGCAATGCAGCAACGGACACAAAATGTGTACATCACTCACACACTCATCACGAAACGGTTGCTTTCCAAAGTCGACGACGCATCGACCGAAAGAACTGCCGATAAAGAACAATGAGGACGACTACACAATGGTTGCTGCTGAGTTAACAGACGATCGCTTGACACACATCGAGAGTGGCTTGCTTCTATCAACAGCCGAGTGAACACTAACGGGGTGATTTGAAAGCGACACAAAACTGGTTTGAGTCTATGGTAAAGGGGAAACCTTGCGGGAAAGAAATAAAACGGAAACGGCAAAAAAGTGATATTTCGAATTGCGTTGGGGTTTGGTGAACTTGACGAAAGTTCTATGAACATTTCGAAAATTCTATGTACACTTTGAAAGTTCAATATACTGTTCAGCCGGCCCTTTCATCAGCAGAGGCGGCGTGGAAGGCATTTTTGTCTTGGCGCGGTGACGGCTTAGCGGCGACTTAGACTTTAATTCAAACCAGAATATTGCATAACTGTATGTGTGCATTTTTAAAAAGTTGCCAGAAATATCGTTGAACGTTTCGGAATATCATGGAATCTGGTAGATTTTATAGTAATTATCGAGTACTTTTTCAAAAGGGCCTAAGTATCAAATGTAAATCACTCGATATTGCCCTTCTATCATTGAATGTACAAAAACGATTTAAATTTACTCCAAATTGACCAATATACAGTTTAGAATGATGGGCGAGGTAAAGGCTGATTTTCCAAAGGTGAGACATGGAAAACCAAGCTAAGGTAATAAGTATGAGCACCAGCAATTTTTCCGTTGTTGGGTACTCTATTCTGAAGTCTGTGAAAGGGAATATAGATGATGTAGAACAAAACCCCCAATGTAACACTCTTTAATTAAGTCATTGAGAAAAAAAAGTCCAGTATAACGTATCCAAAGTACAACTTAATGAGTCAAAACGTTCTATGTGGATTTTCTTCACATTGTAGTACGTAATTCAAAATAAAAGTGCAATTTATCCATTCCTGCTGAATGTTTACCGTTATTTTTCAAAGACTACGGCAAAAATAGTTTTGTTAGTTTTTCAAAATACGGCGGAAATGTTACATTGGTCCTTTTGAAAAAAACAAAGTACTCGAGAATTGTAATGATCCTGAATTAAATAGCTTTATCAATTATGGCACGGTATTATCAAACATAAGACGGTGGGTTCAATTAACAGCCATCCAACGCCAAATTCAATTGGATGGATTTACTACATTATATGGGGAGTCTGACCACTTGCTCAGGGGTACCTGCAATACGTGTGGATATGGACAATGTAGCTTTGGATACTCATTAACGGCTGTCCATAAACTACGTAGACATGTTAGGGGGAGGGGTTGTGAATTATCCACGGCTCATACAAATTTAAAAAAAAAATTTATGGACAGTTGTCTACGCAGAGGGAAGGGAGGTCAAGAATCCCAAAAAACTGTCTACGTAGTTAATGAACAGCCTCTTATGACTTTCATTAATTAGTATTAGAAGTTCTATTACCTGCTCGGATATTCTAAGATCATCTCGGAGGTTCTACGAGAATCTCTGAAGTTTTATGGGTACCATGAAAGTACTATGAACAACTCTATGAAGTTCTGTGAACTGCTAGGAAAATCTGTAACCGCTTATGAAGGTCTCAGGTTCTCGAAAAACCTGTCAACTGCACGGAACTTCTATGAAATGGCCGGAAGTTCTAGGGACATCTCGAAAGTGCTATGATCATCTCGAAAGTAGCATTTAAGTCTTGCTAGTTCTATAAACCGCTCAGAAATTCAATGAGAGATGTGTTTTTAATAAAGACAACATCTTGAAAGATCTATGAACAGCTGGGACATTCTATTAACATCTCTGAAGTTCTATGAACTGCTCAAAAAGTCTGAAACATCTTGGAAGTTCCATCAAAATCTCGAAAGTGCTATGATCATCTCGCAAGTCCAATGAACACCACGGAAGTTCACACTGTTCAGAAGCATATTGTCAGCTAGTCAGATATTTTTCTGAAGATCCTCAAAAGATCAACAATTCAAGTCGCGTCTCTCATATATTTTTTAAAGATATCAGGTTGACCAGCAATTATTCCCAACTGAAGCAAAGACCTTCATAAAGTCCTTTGGACATTTTTTAAAGACTGCAGGTTGACCAAGAACTGTTTTCAAAGATATAAGGTTTATCAGGCAATATTTCAAAGAACTTCAGAAGATTAAAGATCAAATATTTTTTCAAGACTTAAGGTTGGTCATGTATTATTCTGAAGATCTTCAACTATTCATTAATGCACATAACGTCTCTCAGATATTTTCTTATAGATAGCAGGTTAATCAGGAATTATTCCAAAGACCTTCAGTTGATCAAAGATCTCCATAGAGTCCTTTGAAGGTTTTTCAAGACTTCAGCTTGACCATGTATTATCCGGAAGATCTCCAACATTCCATAATTACAAATTATGTCTCCCGGACAATCTTGCAAGATATCAGGCTCATAATAAATAATTCCAAAAACCTTGACTGCCTATAAAAGCATAACAGTCCCATATTGAATAAGTTATCCATTAGAATCGGCTGTTAACTATCTGTATGTTACACTATGCACTAAAAGTCAGATGTATTGTTCTTTTCTGAATGATGTTCTTATGCTGTGAATTTTCAAAACTTGTTTATCCCATTCATAAGAATCTACGGATATATAAATTTTCAACAGCGTTTTTGTCGGCTTGCTATTTTTCCAGATGGGACTGATGAGATTTCATGATCAGTTGTCTTTTGGATACATTTTGATTACGATTCTGATTAACGGCTTTTGAGTGAGTAGTAATGATTTTGGTTATGGAAATGTTAGAAGCTGCTGAGATATTATCTCAAAATACCAGGTTCATCAAAAATTATTTCAAAGGCCTTGAGTTCATCAAAGATCTCCATAAACATCCTTTGGATATTTTTTCAAGACTTTCAAGGTTGATCGTGAATTATTCAAAACCACTAGCCTTTATTTACTGCAGTAACATATGTCACTGTCAACAGAAAGCAGTAGAAGATCAAGAATTACGCTTAAGATCTCCAACTGTCGAACAATTCAAAACTTGTCTCCTGGATTTTCTCTCAAGATGTTAAGTTCATCGGAAATTATTCCTAAGATCTTCAGTTAATAAAATGTCTTCAATAAGTCCTATGGATATGTTATTGAGACTTCAGGTTGATCAGGTATTGCTCTGAAGATCTCGAACTGTCCGACAATTAAAATCAGAAGATACCAGTGTGATCAAGGGTTATTCCAAAAACTTTCAGTTGATCAAAGATCTTCATAAAATATTTTGAATATTTTTTTAAGACTTCAGGTATTAATCTTAAGATCAACAACTGTCCAATAATGTTTATCATGTTTCCCGAATATTCTCTCAAAATATCAAGACCTATCTTCATAAAGTTCTATGGATATTTTTACAAGACTTCAGGTTGATCAGGTATTATACTGAAGACCTTCAACTGTCCAACAATTTAGATCATGTGGGAGATATTCTCTCAAGATACCAGCTTCATCAGAAATTATTCTAATGACCTTCAGTTAATCAATGATCCCAATACATCCTTTGGATAGTTTTGTAGACTTCTGGTTG